TACTTAGCTAAGCCATCCTGCCTTCTGTGATGCTGTCCAGTGCCAAGTATGGTGGAACTGTGAGTGGCACTTTGTCCTCAACTCTGACTGGGCACAGGCTATCTTGCCATTTTCTGTTACTGACACCTTTCAAGCTGGTCCTAATAAAACCACCCCATGAAAGGTATGAGTTAAAAGAGAGGGAATGAGGCTTAATAAGCAGACGAGTTTACTTCACTTACTGATCAATTAATGGCCAAGAGGATAATGTTTTCCCCAGAGTGTATTTCCCTCCCATTCAGAAACAACATCTAACAAATACTCCCTGGATTTCATGACCTGATGCTCCCCTCAAAGTGTTCAACTCTCTGTTTCTGGTGCTGTCAGTTACCTGTGCTAGACCAGCTGGGGGCCATCTCTGTTTAACTGCCTACCTGACACATCTATGTAAATTCCCAGGGGCCAAGCTACTCTATCTTAACTGGCCCCTCAAGAAGGAGGAGTAGCGTCAGCTGATGGAATGCTGTCTGTGCTTGAAAGACTGTCTAATCCACCTCTGGTCTATCATTCTATAGCAAACTCTGAATGGCTTAACACCCAAAGGACCTCCTCAGAGGGTGAGATGGCATTGGCCCCTTCTCATCACACATGCAACAACAGGTATCTTGGGAAGGGGCTATTGGAAGTTCCTAAACCTTTCTTTACCCCACCACCAGTGATTATGCCAAAACACAAGTTAAACAAAACACATGGAGGCACATGAAGGCCTCCATGACTGGGTGCTGGAATATTGTCATCCATTTAATTCAGTTTTTCCACTCTTGGGACCCCTGGGTGCAGCCACAGTAAGCCACAGGCTGATGCCTAAGCCTTGCTCCTCTTTCCTCCATTAAGTAGGACAGTGAAGTCTTTCATAGTGAGGGCTCATGAGTTAAACTCTTTGCATTCAAATCTTTCTAATCTATAGATCTAGATTTACTAGACTTTATGTCTGTGTGTTCACCTTCCTTAGCTACGCAACAGAGGAGAGAGAAATATCTGCTCTTGGAATTGTAGCTGGGAGTCAATAAGCTCACAGGTCTACTGCTCTTGAATGACGCCTAGCACTTACTAAACCATGAACAAGAGTGGGTAAGAGTATAAGGAAAGAATTCTCCTCAGCATACAGGACTGTGTTAAATGAAACCTTAATAAACCATGCTCAGTCTGCCCAAACAGAAGTAAGCCGAGCTCCCTGAACTCTCAAGCCATGCAAGTAGATCTCCAAGCTATTTCTACCCCAGGTTGGTTGTATGTGGGAGTCTGTCTCCTGCATTAAACAGTGTTTTCAAAGACAGGACCCTACTGTGACCCAGCTTACCTCAAAGACTTTCCCTGGCACCTTGATACAGCAGGGTCTTCCTAAATATTTGAGGTTTGGAATTAATCTGAGTAAGGGAATGGAAGTAGACAACTAAAACAGATAAACTTTTAGGGTTGCACTGCAGGATACAATGTGAGCCTCCAAATTTACGCTATGCTGTCTACCCACTGGATGCTAACAGTCTTAGCATTCAGAAAGCACTAGGGAACACAACTGTTTGAAGGTGGCTGTACAATGAATGGAATGTGACTGTAACCAGGGAATATGCTTTTCCTGTTGTCAGAATGTTGTCCATTTTTTTTTTTTTTCTAGAGAACTTTCATTAAATACTCACAGGTCTGTGAGGCTTCCAAGTTAAGAACCCTTGACTTATTTAGAGACAAAAAATTTTCCCTATAGGGTCTTACAACCAAAGAGCAACATACCTGTACTTATAAGGCACAAACCCACTGAAGGAGGGAGAACTGGGCCAGAGGAATAGTTTTCAGTGAAAACTAGGAGAGACTCCTTAAGTAATTCCATGTCAAGAGGCCAACAAAGAAGGTGAGTAAGAGACCTGGGAACCTCCCATGGATTGCTCCTCCTCGGGAGGTGGAGCTAAAGGTTATCTGTCATGACACAGAAATCCCTGGCTTGGAATGCAGACGCTCATCATCTGGCTCAGCCTGACTGTGAGGGTTGTTTTCTGTCAGGGTGACTATAAAACATCCCACATCATGATTCTGGCACAAAAAATGAGGGTTTTCACCTAACGCTTGTACAGAGAGTTAAGTGACACCTGAAACCAGGCTAAGCCTCATACCAGAATAAGGGGAGTCAGAGACCATTAGTGCAGAACCCAGCAACATTACATGCAGGCAGATGGTTTGCAAAGAACCCTCATGTAGGAGCCTGTTTTAGTTGCAGAAGCCACAGTGGTAAATTAAAGCCCATCCTAGTCCATTCTGAGCTGTCTGATTTCTCTGGGAGCTGTCCCTATCACTGCCATTAGGCCACTAAAATCTGCCACGCTCAGAATGATTGATTCTGCTCAAACAGCAAGCCACAAACTGATGTAGAAAAACCCACTTCAAATAAGTCATTAGTTTCCTTTATGGATTTTTCAGGTCATAAGGAATAGGACCTATGAGCCCTATATTCTGTAGAGTAGAAAGGGAGTGTTTGAAGAGGTGGGGGCACCTGGAGAAACCACAAGTTGCTGCAGGAGCCCATCTAGTTTCCGTCTGTCAAAAGAGGAATCTGGTAATGATAGGTCCTGACAACATCGGCGCCAGGGCCAGATATTCAAATCTAACCAAACTGCCTGGAGCGTCTTCATTCATACAGTGGAAGAGAAGGAAAATAAGAGAGTAGGTAGCTGTCTTTGCTCACACCTCACAGTATTTAGAGGACCTGGAATGAGCAGGCACAAGAAAGAAGTTTCCAAGACTTGCTGACTTTTCTTGGGCCAGCCCATTCCAGCTGAACGAGAGTCGAGACCAGTGCTGCTGGTGAGGTAAAGCAAACTGGGGACAGCAGCAGTGCAAAGGCGTGTCGAGTTCTTAGCTTGGCAAATTTTGGCTCACCACCTGACCCTCGTTTAGCAATTCTGATGGGCCATGGAGCAGACAGCTCTAGCCCGAGATGACTGCCTCCCTCAGCCCCTCTCCGACAGGCAATGAAAGCAAGACCCACTTTGAAAATTCTCCCCCATCATGCAAACTGACATAGGCATGCTTTTCAAAAACCCACAGCCAATCTGTTGATCATTACTTATTTACAAAGGCCTTCGGGCAGAAAGTCCTGTAAAAACCATACTTGATACGGTACACACTAGCTTTTTCTGCTTGTGGAAAAAAAGTCCCCCCAAGGCTACCTCAAACCATCACTTTCTATTGCACATAAAATGTAGCGTGTAACACTAAAGTATTTAATATATATAGTATAATATATCTACAGGAAAGGCATTTGTGTAGAAGTATGTTACCCTGGATTTGGTAATTTGATGTTTTGCTGAAGGCTACGACTTAAAAAAGCTTCCACCTCGTACAGAAGACCTGTCATCCTGGTACCCAAGAGCCAACAGAATAAAGAAGTACCCTTAAGCAGCAAAACTTTGACACAGCTTTGAAGCATATGAAAACAGTATAACTCCTCAGAATTATTATTACTCAAGATCAAAGAAATGAGCCATACTTTACATAGCAAACAGGGACAGGGAATTTGGCTCCAAAGGTTTCAGATTTTTCAGACTTCTCTTTATTTATTTATTTGGTTCTCTAAATTTAGGCAAAAGAAAGCACCTGGGCTTTTTGCTACTTTAAATGGATAAAACTATTAGCATCAGATAAGGCGATTACCTAGAGGTGAGTAAATAGGAAATGAACGCTAGTATGACAACTGGCATCATAAAAAATGAGGAGCTTGGCAGTTGGCACATTTTATTCCTCCTCATAAACTGTAAACAAGCATGTAAATCAGCAACACCCGAGCAAGGCTGAGCCACGGGAAGGCACAGGGCTGTTACGCAAACATTTAACAGGAATCTGGGATCACAGCAGAAAAGGACACGGGGCGGCGGGGCCAGTCTGCCAACAGAATCTGTGCCCTCAACCCCACGGAGAAGACTGGCTCTGTCTGTTTCTTCAAAAAGTGGCTCAGAAAAATATGAATGGGATAGAGAAGGGGTGGGAGAAGGAGGAGATCACCATCCTTTTATTTCATTCATCAAAAGGAGGAGGTGTTCGGTGGCAAAGAAAAGAAGGAAGTTGGGTCAATATGGCAGATGTCCCTTGGAACCACCCTTTAGGGACAACAGCACAAGTCCGAAGTCACTTCTCACTCACTGAGGTGCTGGGGAGTTAGGTTGCTCGTGGAAATAAGCACCGGGATTGATAGATGGAAAAAGACACAAAAGGGAGATGAAAAATGCAGAGGTTAAGAGAAGGAACCTAGAGGACTCTGAGGAGGTCACTGTCCAGAAAGAAAGGAGAGGAAGAGAGGGGGGGAGAGAGGCAGGGGGGAAGAAGGGAGAGAAGGAGGGAGGGAAGGACAGAGGAAAAGTACACACACTGTATTTCATAATTAATATTGCTTTTAGCTTGAGCAGAACTGAATTACTTTTGAACTTTGCTTTGGCAAGTCCACAGATTATTACTTTTTTTTTTATGAGTCAAAATCAATTAACAAAAATTTGATTTCAATCGACAGGATAAAAAGAAGGTAATCTTCAGGTTCAGTTTTGATTGTGATGATACATCTCACATATGGCCTTAAGTACAGAAAACAGTCCTCGGAGGGACTCCTGCAGAAAGAGGCAGAAAGAGACTGGCCGCGGGCAAACTAAACACACGGGTTCCTCTGATTGGTTGTCGCCGTCATTAGTGCCACTGCTGTTTAGGAACTACACACAGACAGGACCTGGTGACAGCTAAGACTTTAAAGCCTATGTATTTTTCAAACAGCTTTTCAAACTGTTTTTCATGACAGAATTTTTTCAGCTCTATCATTAACTGCTGACAAGCTGACAGAATAAATACTCCAGCCTTTAAGAAGCCATCTAAAGATCTAGTCCCCTCCCCCCGCCCCACCTCAGAGCTGGTTGGGAAGCGGGGGAGCGGGGTGAGGAGAGGAAGAGAAGGCACTAGAGGGGACCCAGTGGTGCAGCCCCTCTCCTTACCTAGTCAGCTTGGGCGAGGAGCTGGGCGAGTTCCTCATGCCTCCGTTCCGTTGCTTTTTTTTTGGTGACAGCGTTGATGGCTGCTCATCTTCAACTGGAAATATAGGCAGTTCATGAGATTATGAACAGTTTGAGGCAGACGAAATACAGGCACGATAGCAAAGGACACACACTCACGGCTCAGTCACTCAGTAGGAACTCGGGGCTGTGTTTTAGGGTCCAGCGACAAAGACCAAATGAGTTAGTCCAAGAGGCTGGTTTAGAAAAGGCGAGAGTGTCCCCTCTTTACACGCCAGCATATGAACATGCACTTTAAAGAGACTAGATTAACAGTTTGTAAACACCCTGCCATGGAAAGGAAAGAATCTGTGATATCTCTGCATACCATAGATATACACATATACATCTATTTGGAAACACTCGGTAATTATTCTTAGACTTAGTTTTGGTTACTTTGCTTTGCCGAGTAATCAATGGGTTACCTCATAACCAAGATCGGAAATGAAGTTGTATGTGAAATAGGAGCATAATAGCTGAGCCGAGAGCCTGCTGCTTCTACGAATGAACCAAGTTAGGTTCCTAATCCCAGCACACCTGAGAAGGAGCCTTGGAGAGGAGCAAGGACCCGAGGTCTTAAGAGCCAATGTTTCCATCAGTCTGGGACTGAGAACATTGGGCGGGCTGGCTCAAAAATCTCCAACTCGACTCAGCTCTTGTCCATTCACCTCCCAAGAGGGAGGGTGCATGGAGGGCCATGCACACATGATCTTTTCTTAATTAAGACAGGACAAGGCTGCGAGTTCAGAGAGCCCCGGCAGGAGAAGAGCACCCAAATGAAGGAAGAAGTTGCCAGTGAATGATATCTCTTGATATCTCTCATGATGTGACGGGGACAGGGAGGGACGGAAGCAGAGGGGATCGGAAATCAAAGGCCATTTCCCAAATGTCTAAACCACACAGACTGCTAAGCAATGTGAAGCTTTGTTCACAAACAGCACACTCTACCGCTTTTGCCCAAAGACACCCACTAATAAGCTTTGTAATTGTATTAGACTGCATCATGCTTCTTTTTAAGAGAACTGCTTGATAATTAGCAGATGCATGCCCGGCCTGTCACCCAAGGGCATCGGCAGCAACATTCTAGTCCTCTCCCCACCCCCACAATGCAGGCTAAAGCTGTAATGTCAAGAAAGAAAAATAGGATCCTCAAATTCTTAGAGTTGACAGCAACAGACTGGGAGGAAGCACCGGAAATTCAGAATGCACAGCAGTTACCTTAAAGCTAAGAAGAGAAATATTAGCAGTGATGACATCAAAAGAAGCTTCATGTACGTTAACCGTATGCAAATATTAGATGGGAGAGAAAATGTCATCTCAGCTACTGGATATTCTCTAGAAAGACCCATATGAGGACATGCACTAGATGACATTTCCCTGAGACCCTAAATATAGTATGTTACAATACATAGTTTCAAGGGTCCATATCCAACTACCCTCAAAACCTGCTTCAAAGTTTCACACTTGGGAAACTCTCCCACTGTCTGGGGTCATCTAAATTCTGCAAATGGAATAAGAATGTGTTTGGAGGTGAAAGCAACACCAGAAGAAATGAAGGTGACAGAAGCACCTGTGGAGGCCCCCAGTCTACTCACCTACCACCTGCTGCCCACCCACCTTCCACACACACCCCGTCCCCTGAGGCCCGGCTCTGGCTGCCACCGGATCTGTCATAGGCTCCAGGCAAGGACTATGCAGACAGGAGGACATCTATCACATCTTATCAGAAATGAGTAAACAGCACTTAAAAGATTAAAGAAAATAAATACAAACCACATAAGTGCTATTGAAAAAAATCACTTCGAGTTGATATGCACTTTCCAGCAAGCAAACAGGCACCTGAGCTTGACCTAAATTCATCTTCCTTTTACAGCATAGGGGGCCCCAGGTATCCCAGGCAATAATGGGCTAGAAGGACAGGGCTGGTGGGGTTGTGTGTGGACAGAGAGAGAGAGGATGCATGTCTGTGTGTGTGTGCAAATGCTTTTGCACTTCCATTTTAGGATGGCACAGAAAGTCTTGCATTGACTCCTCCCATAATACCTGGTGACTGTTAAATACACATCACTTGTGGACTAAGTAACATGTGTGTTTGTGCATATGCAACTAAGTGAGTCCAGTGGGGGAGACTAGTTCTGTGCTCTCTCACCCCAGTCTTCATACAGTTGGCAGGAAATCTCCAGAAAGATCTTTTACCTAATCTAATCTACTATGTCTACTTTGATTCCAGGCCACCATTTGTTGCTGTGGTTTTCTTCAGTTGTGTACTGAGACTGTATTAGTTAGGGCCTCAAGTCACATGGGCATCTTCAGGTGGGTTCTTTTGTTTAACTTTTGTTTCCTATTTGCACTGGCCCTACAATAAATAAGTCTCTCCGATTAAACGCCCGTTCTTCTTACACCTTGTCACTGTTTACCTGCAGTGATCTTCAGATGGATGACTTGCAAGTTAATACTTGTTAGCCAGCTCCAGGGAAACACCTAGTTTTGGTACTAAACTTATGCCTCCTTCTATGCAAGGGAACTATTTATTTTCATTGCAATTCAGAAAGATCATCCATCATAATCATACTGTTTTTAAACTGGGATTTGTTCTCTTAAATGAAACTTGTGTTCAAAGGTTTCCTCCTGCACACACAGCCTGAAAATGCAGATCTGTTCCCTGAAGAGATGGGGGGAAATGTCTCAAGCTTAAATATATGAATGCTGTGTAATGGAGACCATTACATATGGCTTAGATCCCACGAGAGAAGCAGTGATAACTTCTTTCTCATAAGTAGGTTATAAACCATATTTAATTATTATCCTTTATATGGATTCTATCAATTTCTGCATTTTAAAGAAATCAGATCTAGGAAAACTTTTAGTTAAGCTATAAAATATCATTTTCATTTCACAGCTTCTGTGACTACATGAGAGGAATAAAAATTGAATTGAAAGAGAGACAAATTTATTTACTATCACGAAAGACACATATATGAGGGTAACGGGCCACTTCTCCGACCAGTGCACCTTTACAGACTCACATTTCATTTCTTTTTCTGCTAATTACACCACACCTCTGCCTTCAGCATTTGTGTTTGCATCGTGCTATGGGAGTCGCATGAAGATATGATCTTTTAAGGGAAACTGACTTACCAGCTTCTTTAAAACACAAACAAGTTCAGGAATCCAATGTGGAATTTTTATAGGAGCTGAACTCCATCCAGTCTCCAAGTGCTCATAAAATTCAAGGGCTTGTTTTTGCACATCCCTAAGTATAACACTTAATGTGCTGTTGTAACTTCCCAGTGCTCGCTTGTTTAATAGGCACTGAATCTAGCAGTTTTACAGTTTGGGAAGACTCAGTGCTAGAAAAATGTCAGGCAAATCTAATGAGGCTTCAGATCCCTTGGTCTGCGCTAGAGTTTAATTTAAAGTTACAATGATGTTTTAACATGTTTGCTTATACTTGACTAAAGAGGATTCATTATTTCAATGACATAACCTCCAGACAATGTTCTGGGAATTGATTTAAGATGTGGTGGTAATTCCAACAGCCTTAATGCAGAGTTGAACATCTGTAACAACATTTTACTCGGCTTTTCATCAGCATTCTGTTTTCAAGCAAGAGCAAAGCAACATCTCCCAGAAACACTGGCCAGAAACCTGGGCTAACTTCAAGATGATCATATGCTTTACTAGATTTTTTTTTTTTTTTAAGAACTCGCTTTCTTTATTGGCTTAGCTAGCGTGCACACACTGTGCTGAGGTTCACCAATGTCTGGTTGTGGGCACTTTGAGTCAAGTGGGGCAATGACTCCAACTTTCACCATTTCCAAATCACCCACTGCTGGCTTGGAGTAGACCCCATGCTCAGTTCCTGCCTCGTGTACATCCCATTTTCTCAACAAGGTTCAGGGCAAGATGCCCTTTGGGACTTCAAGGTGAATTTGTTGGCTGGAGTTAAAATAGTTCAAAGCAAATAAACGTGGAAACGTAATAAAAGGCAAACAACCCATAAACATGAGTCAACTGGCTATCTCCATTACATTATTAATCACCACATCTGGAGAAACCCACATCTGCACACATTTAGCAGGTCATTAGTAATGTCATATTCACGCTGGAATCACTCAGAGTAAGAGGCATGCAAAGTGGTTTAAGTGGAAAGGCATCTAGCTCACAGAGCTTCCGACTGAAATCTTGAGCAAACAGCTAATTCTAGGGTGGGTAGTTTTAATTATTATTTATGTTTTTTATGGGTTTCCTCTTAGGTACTTTACTGCCCAACAAGCTACATGCAAGCTGAAATCCAGAGTAGCGCATTTTTCTTTTTCAAGTGAGCTCAGCATGTTAAGGTAGAACACTGGGCTGCAGGGCAGTTACTAAGAGTTGGCTGGTTTCCAGTACTCCTTCACCTGGCTCAGTCACAAGCCGAGAATTGTGAGTTGTCATCTTGAACTCAAATGGGTCTTTGGGAAAGCGCGATCTAGCTCCAACCTTGACTGCCAAACAATAACAAGAAAAGAAAACATGGAAATCAAGCCTTGGTGAAATTCTCATTAGAAAAGTTCCAAGCCATTTTAACATTGAATAGAATTATAGCTTTAAATTAAAATGGAGATTTTTGGCCTCAGAGCTGATTTGCAGGGCTTTTGTTTTTTCTTTTAACATGATGATTTCTTGAAATTCCTTTTGCCGGGTGGTTGCCATCAATGTTAGAAAACAATCTTGTGTGTGGAGTAATTTCCAAAAACACATAGGAGCCCTTCTCCCCCACAAATACACAGGCTTAGAACACTCAGGTGAACCAGGTAACCACGAGCGCCTGAAGCCAGCTAACAAGCATACTGCTGCATAACCATTACATTCCAAGTCACCAACTCACAATGCTAAAAACTGTGTTCATCTTAAACCCCTGGCTTGTTCCCTAACCCTCTTGGCTGGTATTGCCAACTAACTTGCATTAAGTGCCATGAATTTACTACTTCTAAGCTATCTGTTCATCAGACAGTCTGGGCAAGCTATAACTTCATACGACGTGGCCATCTAAGC